GCCTGCCCATCAGAGATCAACAAATACCAGCGCAAGATAGGCTCACTCCTCTTCGCAGCTGTAACTACCAGACCAGACATCGCCTTTGCGACGTCGCGGCTCGCCCGCTTTCTCTCCAATCCAGGACTAGAGCACCACAACGCTGCCGACCGTGTTCTTCTATATCTACTAGCGACAAAACACCTCGCGCTACAACTTGGAGGAGGCACTGGACTGCAGATAGCCAGCGACGCCTCCTTTGCCGACAATACCCTAGACAGGAAGAGCTCACAAGGCTACGCGATTAAGCTCTTTAATGGACTCATCGCATGGAAAGCAAACAAACAAGACACTGTTACAACATCAACGACAGAAGCCGAGCTCTCTCGCCCTGTCTCAAGTGCTAAGGAAGCTCTATCTGTCCCGTCTCCTCAGAGCTGACATCAGCTGACACCCCTAGTATCACTATTCAATGCGACAACAAACAGACTATTCGCCTAGTCACCGAGGAGGTCTCAAAGCTTCAAACCAAACTCAGACATGTCGACATACACAATCACTGGATCAGACAGGAGGTGTCGACAGGCCGGATCTCCGTAGAGTACATACCTACCGCGGATATGATCGCCGACGGTCTCACCAAATCATTGCCACCAAACAAATGGCCAGAATTCCTAGAACAACTAGGACTAGTCCCCGCTAAGGAAATCCTGGCGAGAAACTCGGCACCGCTCGAAGAAATTCAAGAGAAACTTGAAAATCTCGTGGTAAGCCTTGAGTAGGACTAAGTGCCCAGCTTGCAAGCGTGAAGAGCGTCCAAGCTGAAGGGGTGTGTCAGATAATAGCACTGTTGAAGATGAGAGCGTACAGACGCTGGGTTAGACTAGCGCGACCCGGCATCTGAGAGAGCCAATCGGATCACAGGAAGGCTTGGCACCCCCCCAGGCAGACTCCGCAACAATCAATCGATCGACATGATTGATTCCTATATAGGTTAAAGAGTTACTTTATTAGGCAGCCTTTAACCTAGATAGGAATCAATCATGCCGATCCGATTGATTGTTGCGGAGTCTGCCCCCAGGTGTGCCCACAACCGTAGACAGAACCAACAAACAATCAACAATCAATATCATCACCATTATTACCTATTTCATCAGTATTCCAGATGAGAGTGAATATCTGACAACTAGCCTAATTGATATTAATAAGAGGATTGCCTCCTTCCTCAACGATGCCGACAGCTAGTCCTAATTATCTACACCTCCGACGCCTTCGCTAGTTATTCCTGCGACGGAGACTAGGGCACAGTTTCTCAAGAGGAAGAGAGGCAGCAGTACACCTCACAGAGGCCTCGGGCAGAAGGACAAGTTAGTTTAGAAGCACGCAAGAGCACGGCTACCCTACGAGGCTAAGAGGGATAATTATAGCTATTAAATCTTCTACTACGCAGAGGGCAATTGTAATTAGAAGGGCCTATTATGCAATGCGGCTCGTCACCTCCGAAAACATGCCATCTTTGTGGGCAGATTCTCAGCTACCAGAGTTGTCAACAATCAAGCCAATCTGCAATCAAGCCAAATGTGGCCCCTGCTCGCTAGCCTTGTCGATCAGCCACGGGCCTATAAGAGAGACGTGCCACCCCTCTATTTAGGTATAGCTGTACCTGTATATTCTAGGCCGCTAGTAAGCAGGGGCCACATTTGGCTTGATTGCAGATTGGCTTGATTGTTGACAACTCTGTCAGCTACACCCTCGACGATTACATAAGCTAACAACCTACAACAAGGCCTTTATAATATAGCTACAAAGCATGCTAAATCTAGTTATAATTAAACTGTCACTGTTAGGGTCTCACAGGATCAGATATTTAAAACTGTGTTGAATTACAAAGTTTTTGCAGTACCGAGTTTCTAAGAAACTTCGGTAGAATTAAATACATGTGTGGGGCAGCGGGGCCTCGGCACCCGAGGCGCCGGCGTGGTCCGTGCTCAGAACACCAAGGTTCCAAACCATGACAGTCACAGTCCTCCGCAATGCTGCTTAAAAGCAGCCGTTCCGCAACGCCCTCGCCCGCTTCGTGACAGCGTGCAGTATATCGCACAAATTAGTAGTCTCTAACGAATTCAAAGCGTTGATTATAGCTATTAACCCTAAGGCTAAGCATGTATTACTTCGCTCTAGTAGCTCACTGTCCTTACGTATTATCTAGAACTTCTGCGCTTAACAAGAGGAGGTTATTTGGTATCTCTGCGACGATACAATTAGCTGCTTCTACATCAGCACTAACACGTAGAAGACGATGCACAGGTATAAGCACTTCTAGGCGGTAAATTTCTAGTTTGTTAACTAAAATAGACAGCTAATTTAACTCCTTCTTGACTTTATCAACGTTAATAGCGAAGAGTCTAAAACTAGGGCATACTTAGCTACACTTCTTATACAGACTATCAAGAAGTACAACCTTACTACACGGTTAGGCTAGATAACCTCTAATAATATAGGAGTAAATAACTCGCTTATCCGTGTAATTGAGGCCTTTATGCGTGTTGAAGGCATTAACTACTAGACTAAGAAGACACGAAGACTACGTTGCATTAGCTATATTATTAACCTCGCTACATAGGCCTTTATGTTCGCAACTAACGAGGAAGCAGCGGAACTAGTATATAAAAGAGCAAGGTGTTACGAACCTGTGGGAAGGGGCACGGCGGTTAAGTTAAGGAGCGTCGGCGGGATAGCTGACCCCTCCATATGTGACACGGGAACTTAATCACGTGACCTCCTCGGCTTGGCATGCACGAGGAAAGGTCTTGGCACACTCCTCGTACATACGCCACCGAGGAGTACTCCTCGCGCGTCAGCCACCGAGGAATCCTCGGACTCCTCTGAGCGAGGACAGCGAGCACCATAGGTATATAGCATTAGGCAATGAGCTTCTATAGCTCATTGTGTTCAACTTCGAAATCTAAGGATTAGTACTTGATTCTCAACTCCCCGTATATTACATCGATCTACCAATCGTGCTATACACCCTCGTGTCCATCGCATCACTCTATCCCCGAGAACCAACCAAAGATCATCTTCGGACGACCTTCACACAAGGTTATTATAATTAGAGTCTAACAGGGACGGGACAGAGAGTTATAGTAGGAGTAACTACAACATTGCAAAGACAGCCCTTATAAGGCACCCTGCACTCGCAAAACTCCGCAGTTTTGCAGTTATTCTGCGAGACGACAAGTTTAATTAAGCCTTTAAGACACTAGCGAAAGGGTTCCTAGAGTGCCTAGCAACTATCCCTAAGATCCTAGGCGAGACACAGTAGAATAGTTAGCTTCTTATAATTAAAGAGGCCTTTAGAATAAGGCCTATTCTTAATACGTTGTATACAAGATATCCTAATACTCTAGAGTTAGTTATGCTTACAGACAACGAATGGACACTCTTAGAACATGTCTATAACTTCCTTCTTCCTTTTAAGGAGGTAACTCTTAAGGCAGAGGGATATTAAGTAACCCTTAACTATTTCTAACTATCTATAGAATTCCTAATTAACCACTTCGAAGAACAACAGAGGCACCATTCTAAGCACAAGACTTTGCTCGCCCCACTAAACACAGCCTGGTTTCTCTTTAGCAAGTACTACGCGCTTATTAATAAGAGTGGTGCCTATATTACAGCTGCCCTCCTGCACTTAGAGCGTCGTTACAAATAGCTACAGAACTAATAGAATACAATAAAGAAGAAGAAGTAGTTAAAATTAGGTCTATAACAGGCAGAGGCCTTATAGCATATGTACTGTGATCGGCTTAAGCCTACCTTGTCTAGCAGCCTAAGGGATTAAGACACCTCCGCAGCTGAGTTTTCAGCCTTTAATTAGTGGCAACGACAATTAGCCGTTGTTGCAGATAGTGAGGACAACTTTAAAGCCTTTATCTACGCCCCTCCGAGTCGACTGCCAACCCTAGAAGGGAGACAAATAACGGTTATTAAGTGGTGGGCCTAGCCGACACAACGACAAACCTTCCCTGCCCTGTCACAACTCGCTATTAACGTGCTCTCTGCCTTTACAATAAGCGCTAAGTTGGAGCGAACATTTAGCAAGGCGAGAAGGACAACGTCGTAGGAGAGATCTTAGTTAAGTGCTAACACAATTAGATGCTTAGAGTTGTTAAAGAACTAGTTACACCGTGGTGTCGCTTATAGACTGCCAAATAACTACATTAACAGTAATTATAGGAGCAACAGTGAGGGACAGTAAGGCTCTAAGGACCCTATTTGCAGTATAACTATACAAAAACACCAGGGGGGATGGCGCAGTGGTAGTGCGCCTGGTTGCTTCTGCTAGCTTGCTCGCAGAGGTTGAAGGTTCGAATCCTTCTCCCCTCACCGCTATAATAATTCTATTATTCTAGCTTTACCAAAAAACATCGAACGGCTCCTTTCGAAACCTGGAAAGTTTTTCACCAATACCCCGCACGCTTAACGCTAGCCGCCGCCGTACAACCGAGCCACAAAGTACCGCCGAGACGAAAATATGCCGCAACTGCCGCTATATACAACAAACGTTCAAGGTCCCATGACTTTTTCCCCTACGAGGTTTTTTTCAGTCTTAGGAGCACGGGGTTATTATAGCAAAGGGATTGGTCACAAAGGTGGAGATAAACGGGTGTCTATTACAAGGTCTCTCTCTCTTTCCTGTATAGAAGCAAAAAACCCAAACCCCCATAGTCAAACTCGACCAAAGAAACGAAATCCTACGGGTATAGAGGGAAAAAACTAGTCAAACGGCCCTAGGCCACCGTCCTACATAGTCTCTGACTGAAAAAGGACGTTAATGGATACTACTACTACTACTACTACTATACAAAAACACCAACAACACCTAACTCTAATTTGACTCTGATTTGACTCTGATTTGACTCTGATTTGACTCTGATTTGACTCTGATTCGTGCTGACTCGGCCTGATTTGACTCTGATTCCGGGTGTTTGATTTGAATAATTCAGGAATCAAAATCTATGGCTATCACAGGTATTTCACCACGCACTATTGACTCAATTTATGGTAGAGCCTGCCAACGTGGATTTGAGCCTAATTCACCCACTATTAAACTCCTCCCCGAGTACCTCGAAGACGCCCCTCGCGCTGGTCGCCCTAGTAAGCAGGAAGCTATCCACAACGCCACTCTTTCACAAGTATGCCGAGATAGATATAGGAGAGAGAAGAGCTGTGCTGATATAGCTGGTGATCTTAGTGTTTACGGTTACAACATATCATCCACCACAGTGTAGAGAGACCTAAAAGCAGCCGGTTACAACAAGACGAAGCCCACGAGGAAGCCTGGGTTGACGAAGAAGATAAGACAGGAGAGACTTAAGTGGTGCCTTGCCTATCAAGACTAGACTCTAGAGGACTGGAAGAATGTTATCTAGTCTGATGAGACCTCTGTCGTGCTCAACCACCGCCGTGGTGGCTATCGGGTCTAGAGAAAACCTAATAAGGTCTTCACTAAAACAGTTATTCGCGAGCGGTGGAAAGGCTACTCAGAGTTCATGTTCTGGGGCTGCTTCTCTTATAATCACAAGGGCCTATGCCACATCTAGTGCCCTGTAGACTCCGCAACAATCAATTCAATCCGGTCACTCTCCTAGACCCACTTACCTATCTAGGTAGGGCTTAAACTCCTATAGGTAACTACTAGGCTTAAAGCGGTAATCAATCAATCCAATCTGAACCTTCTAGGACCCACTTAATTGATTGTTGCGGACTGTGGTGCCCTGAGACTGCACAGCAGAAGAGAGAGGCAGCTCTTTAAATTAAAGAGATAAACAAGGTCCTTGAGCGTATTATGAGGCAGGAGTGGGAGCTTACAACTGGCATGAAGAGGATGGGATTAAGGAACAAGCTAGGCAGGACTCCGCAATAGAGATGGACAAAAGAGACCAGCAAGCTGTCTCGTGATAGTGGAAGAGGCATAGATTGGTGGCGCTACCAGACTTAAGTTCTAATCCTAAAGCTCATTCCCTTCGCTAAGGAGTGCCAGAAAGGGAGACCATGTACTGTAGTTCAAGAGGACAAGGCTCCTTCGCATGCCCACTACGCCCAACAACTAGTATACAGTAGAGAGGGAGTAGAGAAGCTTTTATGGTGTGGCAATTCACCTAACCTCAACGCTATTGAAGCAGCCTAGCCATAGCTCAAGCGGAGAACCACCAGGAAAGGCGCTCTAAAAAATAGAGCAGAGGGCACAAAGGCATGGCTGGAGGCTTAGGATAAGCTACCTTAACACTAAATCTAGGCTTGGATAGAGCAATAACTCGGATCCAATCAACGAATCTCCAACGCTCAAAGAAACCAAACCAGCACAGACAGCTACAAACTATTACTAACGCAATTCCTAAAAACAACAAAAGAGACACAGAGCAGACTATCCCATACCGGTTCAGGCCATGGGATACTCTAAACTATACCGTAACAGTCTCTCAAAAATCCAAAGAAGAGGAGGCAAATGCGCACCAAGCCTACATTAAAACAAGGCTAGACAATTACACGACAATATACTCAGACGCCTCGCAAACACAAGAAGGAAAAGGAATAGGAGTTAGGATAGCAGTCTACAACTCAACTCAGCAAGAGATCTACTCAGAAACAGTTAATATCGGACAATACCAGCTAGTCTACAACGGCGAACTAGAAGGGATCACACGAGCATTCAAATACGCAGCAAAGAACGCTACAACCGACCAGGAATTTGAGGTCTACGCAGATAACCAAGCAGCAATCTACAGGCTTAAAAACCTATCAGATAACCCAGGACAGCATTGGCAACTCCGATGTCTAAAAGCGGCAAATACGATCCGACGAAAACAAGCAAACATCCACCTACTCTGGGCACCTGGACACACAGATATAGTTGGAAACGAAAGAGCAGACTACCTAGCAAAAGAAGCAACCAAAGAGGACCCCAGATCAACAACAAAGAGCATTGCCTACCTAGGCACGACAATCAAAAGGATACAACAAACGGAACAACGCCAAGAGTATGAGAAATACAAAGCAAGAGCAACCGCTCTAAACAAAGCTACCTACTCAGCCAAATACCCTCTTAAAATCAGCAAAACTATCCAAATGCCACAGAACACGAAAAGAGTAACCTCTAGCGCCTTCTACTCTCTTAAGCTAGGACACGGATACTTCAACTCCTACCTAAAGAGATTTAAGAAACGAGACTCTAATCGCTGCACCTGCCAAAACATCCAAACGCCAGAACACCTACTACTGTACTGCCATCTATACAAAGACCATCGAAAAACGCTCCTACAAACAATCAAACATCGCCCAGTCACACTACCACTACTACTCCACACTAGTATAGGTATAGAAGCAACCCTAGCTTTTATCACTAGCACCAGAATAGGAACAAGAAAATGGTACCTAGGACAGCCAGCAGAAGACCTACAGAGAGACACTGTATAAAACTAAAACCACAACCCTCTCCTTTGCCACAAGAGCCCGCTGATACATCTCTTTCTACTTATCAAACTGCTCTTTAGCACCTGGCAACAAACAGATACAAGCTATCTTTTGTAGAAAAGCCAAAAACCATATTAGCGAACCATACCAGAAAACCATGTAAATTAGAAAAACCAAGATAGAACGGCCTTCGGCCAAAGTCCTACATAGTCTCTGACTGAAAAAGGACTCTAATGGAATAATAATAATAATAATAATAATAATAGGCTTGGATAGAGCGTATACAGTTTCATGTAAAGGAGATTACTAGACTTGAAGGCGGCAACGAATACAAGGAGGGGCGGCGCGACCGAACAGTCCAAGCTTTGGTGGTACTACGGCGGTAATATAGACCCCCCTGTCAGCAAGAACTTTTGAAAGTCACCTCCGTACTAATCACGTTTTTTTGGTGGAAATGTTGCGACTGGACAGTACAACATTGATGATGCCGGCCTGGGGAGTTGGTCAGCCAATGGGATTGCGCCGGTTGCTGATTCCAACGTCTTATGACCGAGTACGAAAATTACAGAGTCTGGCCGGAGGATACGGGTATGCGGTGAGGGGAGGGCGGGTAGAAATCGAATACATAAGCCGCTCGGATGTTCATGCAGACTTCTCAAATGTTCACTCACTTTAAATCCAATCGCATCTACGCATCTTCATCCTGTAACATATCACGTCGCTAACCACACTATCACATACTACCTACGCTTACCAACACTATACATAATGCAAATCAACGCTCTGCTCATCCTACTCGTCGCCGGCGTGTGCGAGGCACAATCACGTTGCCATACGTACAGAGTAGCGGGGCACTGCAAAAAAAATTCCAAAGGACTCCTATTATGCCACTATCGATCTGCGTGGTGCCCGGGTGGATCTTATTTAGAAAATTATGTTAATAATACGCCGACCCATAGTATCTATTATGATGGTGAATATATAGCAGTTTGTGCTAGCGATGCTGAATGCACTACTACGGTATGTAATCCGTTGCGCGAGTTTGGTTCATGACGAGTAATTTACTAATGGTTGGTGTGTAGTCTAGTTGTTGTTGGCGAGATTAGAGGGTATGGCGGTGCATGTACCACAGCTGCATCGGCACACGCGGACATAACTTCATTACGCACAAAAGTCCAGCTTTCCAAAACGATGCGGACCTCGGAATATCAGCAAGAACAAGGACGTTATACCCCATCGACACGTTCTCATTTCGCGCAGTTGTAGGGGTGTTTGCGAAGTTCGGGTGGGCTGGGTATAAGCAAGGAAAACTTCAAACACCTGAGGTCTCCGTAGGCTTTCAGGCCTTATTCAGCTCCAGAAAATCTATTAGTCTACGTTCGAGCTATAACACATAAACCGACTTCCTACGTTACCAAACCAATATAGCTTGAAGCTCTTGTTATCCTACTTGTCGCAGGAACCTACGAAGCGGTTTAAGACGACTACTACGGGTATAGAAGGAATCAGTCATGTATGTGCGATTACTGGAATATCTTTGTGATAAGCTACTACGTTATCAAGTACGATAAATTGACGTTCTATGTCAGTGCGGACATGATGAGTTAGGGAGGAAGCACCTTGTGGTACCACAATAGTTGTACGATTATCTGCAACGTCTAACCACAGGACACGAAGAACTCCCTAGGATAAAAATGTGTGTAGCGCGCACACTTTCCCAGTCTTATCTTACCATGATATATTTCTACTCATTTTCGTTCTACAATATATTGCTACAACCACGCATTTTTAAGCTCTCCCTGTCCTGCTTATCGTAGGCGTGGTGAAGCGCAAAAGTTCACCCAATGCACACTACCAGTTACCAGACATCAGTCATATCTCACACATCGCGGATCGAAGTTCAAAACGTGCCACTACTAGGAAAAGTACCTAAAGGGTAGCATCTTTAAGTCTCTTACCCGCGTGTTTCCATCAAGGAAGTTTTATACTGCAGATGCTTAATCCAGCGCAAAGGCATACTATCCTTTACACAGATAATACGAAGATGCAAGACTAGTAATACTAAATCTATAGTTGTAACAGCAATGTTACTCTACCACCTTATCCGAACTAGAATCCGATAATCATCTTTAGCAACATACCCGATACGGATCTCGGGGAAGCCTGGGAAGTGAGCATCTTATGGTTGTACTCCGGTCTTACGTCGTGCTAGAGTCTAATATCTAACGCAGATCTACAAAATCCCGCCAAAGTAGGTAGGTATTGCGGGGAAAAGACCAAGTACGAAAAGGCTAGACAGCCCGCACGTTGGTGAAGATCTTACCTTACTATACTACGTCCACCTCGCTTTACTTTCGTTTTAATAACATATCACGTGTCACGTGTCACCTACCTACCTACACTACCACACCACGATGCGCCCTCTAGCTTTCCTACTCATCCTCCTCATCGCCATGGGCGCGTGCCAAGAAGAGGAAAAGCATGGAGAATGCCGCTCCACTACCGTGATAGGGACATGTGAATACAATCGACTGTGCACGTATGCCACTCCCAAGTGCTGGGTCGGGACCAAGGTGGTCGGCCCAGTGATACAAGCGGCGCCGGTATATTATGGACCCGATGTTCCCTATGGCGATTGTAAAGGGGATAACGAGTGTTCGACTTGGGCATGTTATTCTTGAGCGCCGAGTTTAGGCATGTTGGCGTGGGGCTAATGAGTTTGTGTGTTTTTTTTTTTAGTTCCAGTGTTGTCATCCTGCGTAGAGGGTCATAGCCGCTGAATGATCAGCCTCGGGGACTGACTGGGAGACTAGCTTTGGTGATGGGTGCAGATCGCGGGGGCAAGTTGGGGTAGTGAGTAAGCACCTTATGGCAGTACTGTAGTCGTACATCGTGTTCGCCAATGATTTACACTGTTCTCACCAAGGAAAGCGCGGGAGGGGAAAAGGAGACTTGAGCGAGTACAAAAAAGGCTAGATATCCCGCTGATACTTAATGTCTCTTCTATTATAATTTGTCCTACCTCGTCTTTTTGAATAACACATATATTAAGTTCTCGCCTTTGATAATATGTCCACCTTGTTTTCGTCCTTGAAAATCACATGTTCTAACTACCCTCCAACCCACCAACCAATCCATGCGAGCCTCAAACGCCATCCTCTCCCTACTTGCCGTCGTCGGCATCGGCGTGTGCGAAGCCGAACAGACAGGATAATGCCGCCCCGCATACCTAGCCGGGAGATGTGTAGAAGAGCAGTTCACGCATCGCAAGTGCTCGTGGGGTACGCCCAAATGCTGGATCGGGGCCAAGGAGACAGACATACAATATGGGCCGCCGGTAAATTATGGACCGTGTTATCCAATCTGGCTATTGTAAACGCGATGAGGAGTGCTACACTGTCGTAAGTATTCTTCTCCAACGACGCCCGAATTCAGGAATGTACGATTGGTGCTAATGGGTATCGCGCATCTAGTTCCAATGTTGCCGTCTGCCTTAGACGGCCACGGCCGCTGCATTATATTAACCTTGGGGACCGACAAAAGTAGAGTTGGTAAGGGAGACGTCGTAGTGGTCAGGACTGGTGTATCTAAGAGGATTTGGAAATTTTTAGCGATGGAGTAGATCTGTAGGCGAAGGGAATACTTAGGCTGGAGTTAGAGTCAGCAGCCAGAACAGTAGTTTATATTAACCACTACTATTAATAAAATAAACAGTTCGATACAGCTTTATCTATATCTATAATGTCCCCTTAGCATACCCATATACCCATGTTAGGATCGTATCGGCTTTGTTTTGTCCTTTTTTTTAGAAAAAAATACCTGTAAGTTTAAAAGTAATTCTATACCTTATAATAACTATTAAGTATCCAATTTAATGATAAAGCAGCTGGAATAGTAGTCTACCTCTCCTTCACCTCTACCCACTTACCAACCCCCAACCCCCCTGTCCTCCCCGTTATAATACCCCGTTATCCCCATCTACACGCATACAAATCTATCACACATACATGCAACCTCACTCTCTACAACACACAACACATTAACAATCAGCCACAACTTAGCAAATCCAGATATCACACATTTTCACGATTGAATCATTACAAAAAATATCACATGTACGTATTCTCACCAATCGCCATCGCAATTGATATAATAAGAGCGGCACACCTGTACTCCGAGAAAAACAGCAAACGCCTGCGCTGCGCTGCGCACAAAGCACGCCAAAAAAAACGCCTCCATCCCACGCCACACACAAAACATATTTTTCACCCACACACCCACACGCATATACAATTCCGTCTTTTTTTAAAACACATTCCACTCACTCCACTCCACTCACACATTCCAATTTTCATCTTCTTCTTCTCAGTAAGCAACCCCACTCCTACCCTTTGTCTTAAAAGTCATGGATTGCACCTGTTCACCAAGCGCCAACGTATCCGCCGGATCCACACCCATTCTCTCAAAGTCGGTGAAGCCAGAGAGGTAGAATCCAGCAATAACCACCAGGTACGAAAGGATAAGGATAGATCCTTTAAAGTAGTTACTCTTCCCCTCACCGTACATGTACGAGAGGAGAAAAACGCAGAGGATAACGGTGATCATATCCCACTGGGGGAAAATGAGGGTAAAAGTTTGGTTTGCGACTTCGCGGGCGGGGATATAGCCCGTGTGGATGGCGGAGTAGAAGACGAGGGCGGGGATCTGCAGGAGACAGACTTGCAGCGCGTAGGCAGAACCGATTTCCATGGAGAGTGCAATGTTGCCGTTCATGGCGAAGGAGATGGCGTTGAGGAATTCCGTCGTGTTGGGGACGAGGGCGAATAAAGTGATACCCAGGAACTTCTCGTCAATGTCGGAACCCTCGAGAACGGCGTCGACGGTGTTGACGAGAATCTCGGCGATGACTGCATAGGCCAGAGTGGCTGTTAACAAGATGGCTGCACTCTTTTGTCGGCTCCAGTTGGGTGCATCGTGTCCCCCAGAAGTATGTCCGGGTGCCGTGTCGACCTCCTCGGGTGGAACCTCGGTGTTTGTTCGTGTCTGGACGGGACGATCTTTGGTCGATGCATGAGCAAGCTGAGCAGCTTTGCGGGGAGCCCGAGTAACGTCGCGTGTAGCCAGAGCCGTCGTGGTTGCGGCGATTTCCGTAATTTGGCGTGCTAGAGACTGCGCAGCATCGTCGGTTAGGCCTTCGACATGGAAGGAGTGATGTGAGTGTGCGTCGCTGTCTTTGGGCGGTACCATGTGAACCGTATGGTTGTCAGTCTTTGAGCCTTGTGATCTATCGTCCGATGTGTGATGCTCAGTAGAAAGACCGACTTCATGCAAGGTTTGGTTGACCATGCGTCTGTACAGCTGGCTATCACGTATGTGTGCGCGAGATGTCGACTGTCCGGTATTCTGCCTAATGAACGAGGGAGTGAGGAGGGTATTCAAGATGGCCGCTTTGGCTGAGACTGCTTGCGCTCATCTCCAGAAGCTTCTTCTCTTGAGCGTCCGGCTCAGTCCAAATGGTCGCGGCATGGGTTCGGAGAGTAAACAAAAGACCGATGATGTAGGAGAAGAAGAGCAACGCAGCCGCGAACCAAGTGTAGGGCTTGACTGCTTCGTTGTAAAAACGGTCGTTCAGTGCGGGGGTTTGCGAGTAGTAGCATCTGCGGCAGTCCCTTTCCGGGGCACCGCTATGAGAGGAGACGCATTGGCGGCAGTTTAGTTCATGCTTGGTTTGTTAGTGGAGCTAGTACAATTAGGATGCGGTATTTTCTTACGCTGCCATAGATCTGGTAGAACAGGGTGGGGCCAAAGGCGCCAATGACGGCGAAAAGAAGCATGGTTGACGTGACACCGGCCGAACGTACATTGAAACGTTGAGTCTTACGCTTCAAAGCACCAAAGCACATGGACAAGCCTGGCAGAAACAGAATACCCGCAAAGATACTTCCGATGATGCTTCCTTCGACAAGCTGTGCCTTGCCCTGTTTGAGGGCTACACAGTAGAGGAACACTTCGACTACGGTGGAGAAGAAGGCATTGATGGTTGCGCCAACGCCCATGGATGACTGGGCAGAGATGGAAGCAACGGCTTGGCCGATGAAGTATGCCAGCGGGATGATGGACAATAGGGCAAGTGTGAAGAGCAGGAACTGATCCGTCAACCAGATCTTGAGCTCCATGGCCTCTGCCAAAACAAAGTAGTCGAAGATTGTAAAGGCCACGAGGCCGAGCAGGTTAATGAGGAAGATGTTGGTTCCGTCAATAGTATACTTCCAATATTTGATACCGACTGCGCGGTAGGTACAGAGAAGTATGGAAGACGACTCCCCGGGGCGACGCACGTTGCCATTGTCAGAATGGAAAGAGAGTGCCAAGGGATGACGGCGTAGATGGTCTAACAGCAGTAGTGTAGTCTTACCCATGGGAATTGTAAAGACCAAGAACCAGCAAAGGGTCGAGACAAAGAACAGCGAGGGCATGAGGATGCCGTAGAAGAAGATGAAGAAGACAACACGACCAAGGTTCCACTTGCCGCGACCAAAGAGTCTTCTTTTGGTGTTTGCGGTGTCGGCGTGGTTCAAGTTGGCGCGCCCATCTCTGCCGAGTAGGCTTGTCGTCTCGTCGCCAGTAGAATCGACGCTGTTGCGCCTACGACCAACGAGGGAGCTGGTGCCAGTGGTGGGGCCGAAGAAGAGGCGACCCTCCTCGATGTCGCCGCTCTGCCACTGCTCGTACTCGCTGATGCTGCGACCCTCGCCCTCGTCTTCTTCTATGTAGGCCTCATCCTGCAAGAGTTTCACGTACTTACCAAAGGGATAGAACAGATATCCGGCGAGGTGGAAAAGGAGGTGCGAGTACTCCTTGCAGCTCTCGCTGAAGATTAGGAGGGCGCAAAGCAGACCTCCAGCAGCCGCGACAGCCGCCAGCCACCAACCAAAGATGAGGGTCCAAGCGATGTTGAAGAGAAGGAGCCATTTGCTGACGTAGAGACCCGGGGACGAGTGGATGTCTTCTTCCGCGTTGCGCTGGACGGAGCGACCCTTTTTGTAGAGGGCGGGCTTCCAGATTCTGATACCAAAGGGATGTGTGACGTTGATGGCGTCCTGACGATCACGTAGTGTGAAGCTCTCGGCGTCGCTCAGATCATCGTCGTCGTCGCCGCCTCCACTGTCGTCTTCAGCTTGCACCGTCTCTTCGCTAGATGAGCCAGGCGTCGCGTCAACATCCGGGGCGCTTGGTGGTCCTGCATTCTCCTGGACGACGTCGTCCTCGTTGGAGTCTATGGTGGTGAGGGTGGCGGGCGGGACAGCAGGTCTGCGCCGAACTGTCGAGGGTTTGGTGCGCAGATTCGGTCGTGGTTTCTTCTGCTGGTCCTGCTGGGCTTGGTCGAGCTCGACCTCCTCTTCCGCATCGTCCACACTGAACTCCTGACCCTTTTGGGGGAATTTGGACGATGTTGCACGGCGGGTCATGGGAGGCTTCTTCGCCTTGGCCGAGCTCTCTGACGGGGTCGGGTTCGCCATGGATTGCTGCTGCTGCTGCTGCTGTTGCTGTTGCTGACGGCGCTCGATACCTTGAGTAATGGAACCTGCGTTCACGTTAGTTTGTTTTGTAAGAGCTTGCGCGATCCCTACCATAGCCAGACGGCTGCATAGCAGCTTGTGGTCGTCTGCGCGCCGACTCTGGGCCTGACGCGCTCTGTGCTGGCGTGTCGCTGCCGGTGCGACTGCGAGCGGTGGCATGAGGGCTGCTTCGACGAGAGGTGCCTGGCGATGGCTTGGGCCTGCCTTCGGGGGGCGTGCGATCCTCCATGGTTGTCGCAGTGCAGTGCGATGCAGGTTGGACAAAACAAGGTTTATCTGTAAGATAGCTTGACCCTGGTTGGGGAACGATTGCGATGGCTGGTCACAGCGCAAGTTGGGTATCTATCTGCACGAGTCACTCCTCTGCCGCCGTGGGTTTACAGGTCTGAGACACGGGGAATTCGGCATCACAATATGTTGTCGTGCCCCTCTGGTGAGGTGTGTGTGGGAAACATCAGCAGATGACCGGTTAGATTCCCGATGGCGGGCTACCAAGCCATCCAGCATCTCTGACGCCGCAAGCTCCCGGGCATTTTTGCGGACCCTGCCTCACTCCAGCCTGATAAGACCGCTGCAAGCGCTGCACAAAGTATTGGGCGGCACGCATGACAGCAGGCCATGACTTTTAAAGTTGCTATTGAAACCTGGTGACCGGAGTGCTGAACGTCATCAACTCTGTCCCCTGCATCGCTATCGCCCTCCAGTGGCTGTGCTATGCGGAAGGTTTACCCACGGTCCACCGTGAGAACGGGGAAGGCGCGACCACGGTGGGGCTAAGTGGCTGACCGGATCTGAGGCGCAGGCGCTAGCACTAGCCGCACGGCGCCGGCGAAACCATTGATCCGCATCACAGCTTCGGAAGCTTCCAGTGACGATGGTCTCGGTCTTGGTGTCATTGCCTGGGTGCAACAACAACAACCGTCAACGTCCATCACCATCCCACTTAGAGTCTAGCCCTTCACTCTCTCCATCGACAATCACCTGACCGTCATTATCGCGACCTTTGTGGTGCCAATCTCTACACCAGCCCGTCCACCGTCCACCGTCCACCGTCCACCGCCCACCGGCGCCCGCCACAGCCATGGCGCTCGATACCTTCTTTCACAACAAGATCGAGGCAATGAAGCTCGAGATCATACAGGGCCAGGCAAAACTACGGCGTCTTGAAGCCCAGCGCAATGACTACAACTCGCGCGTACGGTTACTACGGGAGGAGCTCGGCCTTCTCCAGCAGCCGGGGTCTTATGTTGGTGAGGTGGTGAAGGTCATGGGCACCAAGAAGGTCCTTGTCAAGGTGCATCCCGAAGGCAAATACGGTGAGTATCATTGGTACATTCCATCGCCATTGCTAATCAGGCGTAGTCGTCGATGTCGCAGACAGTGTCGACATTAGCAAGCTCACGCCCGGCAAACGTGTCACCCTCCTCAGTGATTCGTACAAGCTCGAGAAGCTGCTTCCATCATCCGTTGACCCGCTCGTCTCGCTCATGATGGTCGAGAAGGTGCCAGACAGCACATACGACATGATTGGAGGTCTGGACCAGCAGATCAAGGAAATCAAAGAGGTCATCGAGCTGGGTCTGCAACATCCCGAATTGTTCGAATCGCTCGGAATCGCGCAGCCCAAGGGTGTCTTGCTGTATGGACCACCAGGAACAGGAAAGACGCTGCTTGCCCGTGCCGTCGCGCATCACGCCGACTGCAAGTTCATCCGAGTGTCTGGTAGCGAACTGGTACAAAAGTACATTGGTGAAGGTAGTCGCATGGTTCGAGAACTGTTCGTCATGGCACGAGAGCACGCCCCTAGCATTATCTTCATGGACGAAATTGACAGCATCGGGTCAAGTCGTGTTGAAGGAAGCTCGGGCGGTGATTCCGAGGTGCAGAGGACCATGTTGGAACTGCTCAACCAGCTGGATGGTTTTGAGCCTACCAAGAACATCAAGATCATCATGGCCACCAACCGACTGGATATTCTAGATCCCGCTCTATTACGACCCGGACGTATCGACCGAAAGATTGAGTTCCCACCGCCAACCGTTGAGGCGCGTGCCGACATTCTCCGCATTCACTCCAGGAGTATGAACCTGACTCGTGGCATCAATCTGACCAAGATTGCGGAGAAGATGAACGGCTGCTCGGGTGCTGAGCTGAAGGGTGTATGCACAGAAGCTGGAATGTACGCTCTCAGAGAGAGGAGAGTGCACGTAACGCAGGAGGACTTTGATCTGGCGACAGCCAAGGTGCTGAACAAGCATGATGACAAGGCTACCAGTTTGAGCAAGCTGTGGAAGTAGGCGGGTCTGTTGACTGTGCGTTGCTCATGCTTACGCCAACATCATGTACACGAAAGCTTAGCGAGATACATTCTTGGTATAAACGAATAATCCTACCAAACTCTGCCAACGTAAACTGTCCACGAATATTGCATTCCCAACACGGCTGCACATGATACTAGCGCATAGTAGCTCCGGTTGCTAAACACACTACAACAACTTGTGCTGATCTTGCCTAACGCGGGTGCACCTTATCACATGCAGCAGGACACCCTCAACTATGTATCGTACAGACTACGTCACTGGCTCGATATTACCCCCACATGAACCTGCCCCGCCCAGGGTCCTCCCTCACCCACTCGCACCGCATGCATTGCGCGAGCGGAGAGGCTGATTGCGCAAGCGGTAAGCGTGAACTTTGGTACAAGGAATAGCGCGATATTAGCTACGTAGTTTAACTTGCACCCCAACGAACCCACCCTCACTAACCCTTGCGTTGTCTGCACTGCCAGTGTTTGTTCACTTTACGCGTGAACTGCTTCTCTGACCGATGAACGACTTTTTCGCATCTATCTAGGTAAAGAGTAAAAATGACCGGCACAGCGTCCAGCAAGATGGAGCAAGATGTTTATGGGAACAAAAGTCCGGCTGCGGAGGCGGTGTTGAGAGAGGGAGAGGGAGAAGTTCCTGTCAGCGTCTTGGAAGATGGATCGCTGGATCCTGTGTACGAAGCCAAGGCGAAGGTGCTGAATAAGGCGATTCAGGATATTGGTATGGGGAGGTATCAATGGCAGGTAAGTAAGACGTCTCCTTCCCTTCCCCCCATTTCCCCCATCTTCCCCCCTTCTCCCAAAAAAAGACTAACAACCCCCCCAGCTCTTCATAGTCATCGGCTTCGGCTGGGCAATGGATAACCTCTGGCCAATCGTCACCTCTCTAATCTTCACACCCATCACCAACGAATTCCACCCAAACCGGCCGCCTTTGTTGTCCCTCTCCCAAAACATTGGTTTGCTTGTTGGCGCCGTGTTTTGGGGTTTCGGCTGCGACGTGTTTGGCAGACGGTGGGCGTTTAATCTCACCATTGGGATTACGGCTGTGTTTGGGTTGGCGGCCGCGGGGAGTCCTGGGTTTGGCGCTATTGGGGTGTTTGCGGCACTTTGGTCGGTTGGGGTGGGGGGGAATTTACCGGTGGATAGTGCGAGTATGTGAGTTCTGGTTTTGGGGGGGTGGTTTGTGAGGGAGGGGGGAGTGAGAGGGATGATTGCTGACGTACATGTGTGTGTGTGTTTAGTTTTCTTGGAGTTTCTGCCAGGGTCGCATCAGTATCTTTTGACGGTACTGTCGATTTATTGGTCGTTTGCTCAGGTCTTTGCTACTCTGGTTGCTTGGCCGCTGCTGGGCAATATGACGTGTCAGCAGAGTGACGACAACTGTACAAAGGAGAAGAACATGGGGTGGAGATGGTTTATGCTTGTCAGTTCCAACCTTCCAAACATTAGATGGACTTGTTAATCAACGCAAGTTTAGGTCATGGGCGGCGTCGCTCTCCTAATGTTCATCGCCCGCTTCCTCCTCTTCACAATCTTCGAGTCACCGAAATTTCTCATGGGCAAAGCCAACGACAAAGAAGCCACCCGAATCGTGCATGAAGTCGCGCGGCGCAACGGAAAAACCACCCCTTTAACCCTCTCTGACCTACAAACTTGCGACCTTGTCGCCCGCCCGGGCACCACCTCCACTACTCGCACCCGCAATCCCGCCACAGCAGCCATCAGACGCAATCTAGAAAAAGTAGACATGTCGCACATCAAAGCCCTCTTCGCTACGCCCAAACTTGCCTTATCTACAACGCTCATCACCACAATCTGGGCCTTGATTGGTCTCGGCTACCCCCTCTACAACGCCTTCCTGCCCTATATCCAAGCCACGCGCGGCCTAAACTACGGCGACGGTTCCACATACATCACCTACCGCAACAGCCTCATCATCGCCGTCCTCGGCGTCCCGGGGTGTCTGCTCGGCGGCCTCTTGGTAGAAACAAGGCTTCTCGGCCGCAAAGGCACGTTATCCCTGTCTACCATTCTAACGGGTGTTTTCCTCTTGGCTTCCACTACGGCAACGTCATCCAACGCGCTGCTTGGATGGAACTGCGCCTTCAACTTCATGTCGAATATCATGTATGCGGTGCTGTACGCGTATACGCCCGAGATCTTTGCGACCAAAGATCGCGGTACGGGGAATGCGGTTACGGCGAGTGCGAATCGCGTGTTTGGTATCATGGCGCCGATTGTGGCCATGTTTGCGGATTTGCGGACTAGTGTGCCGGTGTATGCGAGTGGGGGGTTGTTTGTCGTGGCTGGCGTGTTGGTGCTGGCGTTGCCGTTTGAGAGTCGGGGGAGGGCTAGTATGTAGAGTGGTGTTTGGAGTGGGAGTGGGAGTGGGAGTGGGAGTGGAGGGGTTGGGAAGATTTCACACCATGTTTGAGGATATGGGTTTTTGGAGGGAAGGAGACGATGGTGGTGGTGGTGGCTGGGGTGTGGAGGATATAGAGCTAAATGTGTTGGTAGGCCTTGTACGATCGTACGGATTGAATAACAACAACGAGGTTCTTCTGGTGACTGGTATTGGTATTGGTTTTCTACGAACATAGGTGCTACGAAGGTATACCTAAGCTCAGCGCAAGTTGGGCCGAAGTTGGGCCGAAGTGTCAAGCGACCGACGTCTCTACTGATACTCACGATCCGACAGTTTGGGTATTTTGTCCATTAAGAAATAATCAGACTCACAGAAAAGAACTTTTGTTAATCTTGTAACTACGTGAGCAGTGTCGGGTCGGGGGCTGTAGATCAACGATTATATTGCTATATGTTGAGAATATCTGAGTCCAGTCCAGGGTAGAAGGTGCTTGGGAGTCACATGATATGCTGGTGTGGCAGGCACTGCCCGGTGGGCAATAGCACCAACCACAACAGCGTGAGTCTGCGACACTCAACACGATAGTCAATACAATACGTTGCAGCCACCCCGCCTTGTCCCTCCTCCCACTCGGTTATTCATGGTAGTCATACTACTAGAGGGACCTTGTTCCAATACTATATTCTTGTTGCTCTTTTGTTCTCAGGTGAGCGCACTTGCCCACCAGACAGTGCTCGCTAGACTCCGCAACAATCAATTCAATCCGGTCACTCTCCTAGACCCACTTACCTATCTAGGTAGGGCTTAAACTCCTATAGGTAACTACTAGGCTTAAAGCGGTAATCAATCAATCCAATCTGAACCTTCTAGGACCCACTTAATTGATTGTTGCGGACTGTGGTGCTCGCTGAAATAATGTAAAGGGCTGAAGCCATGTAGACGTTTTTTGGCTAAAGCCTCATTGCAAACAGCACAGACGCCAGGTGTGTTACGAACCTGACAAGAGGGCACAGCACAAGATATGGAAGGCAGAAGGATGAAGACCATATCAGGGCCTCCAGAACGGACAAAGACATACGGAGGTGCCTTTCAAAAGTTATTGCTAGCGCGGTAGATCTATCGGCCCGATATTTCTTGGCACAGTCAGAGTTTTTGAAGCTGAAGATAGCAGTATCTTCGCTTTCTTTGGTGTTTCTCAAAGGTTAGTTATACTAGTAATGGCTCCTCGTTCTCACACAGACTCATTCACACGTGCTATAATTGTTACTTTAAAGTCCCGCTTTGTGGGCAAATCAACGAGCCAGATCAGCGAGATCCTGGGTATTTCCCCACGCACTATCGACGCTATCTTCAGCCGAGCCTGCCTTCGAGGCTTTGAGCCAAATGGACCAACCCTAAAGGTTCTTCCTGAACACCTTGAAGATGCTCCTCGCTCAGGCCGCCCACGTAAACAAGAGGCTATCCATGAACCTACTGTTGACAAAGTACGCCGTGACCGTTATGGACGAGAGAAGAGCTGTGCTGACATAGCTGGTGATCTTAGTCTCTACGGTTACGACGTCTCTCCTACCACGGTGTGGAGAGTCCTCAAGGCAGCAGGATACAAGAAGACGAAGCCGACGAGGAAGCCTGGGTTGACGAAGAAGATGAGACAAGATAGACTTACCTGGTGTCTCGCTCGTCAGCACTGGACTCTTGAGGACTGGAAGAACGTTATCTGGTCAGATGAGACCTCTGTCGTACTGAACCACCGCCGTGGTGGGTATCGGGTGTGGAGAAAGGCAGATGAGGCTCTTACAAGATCTGTGATACGAGAGAGGTGGAAGGGATACTCTGAGTTTATGTTCTGGGGCTGCTTCACGTATAATTACAAAGGTCCCTTTCATGTATGGAGGCCAGAGACAGCCCAAGAGAAGAGAGAAGCAGCTCTTAAGATTGAAGAGATGAATAAGATCCTAGAGCCTATTATGAGAGAGGAGTGGGAGCTTACTATAGGCATGAAGAGGATAGGCTTAAGGAATAAGCCTGGTAGAGCTCCTCAATGGAGATGGACTAAGGAGAATGGGAAGCTCACTCGTGGTAATGATAAAGGTGGCATTGATTGGTGGCGGTATCAGACTGAGGTTCTTCTCCCGAAGCTTATCCCCTTTGCTAAGGAGTGTATGAGAGAGAGGCCAGGTACTCTTGTTCAAGAAGATAAGGCTCCCTCTCATGCTCACCAGGCCCAGAATATTATCTATCAACGAGAGAGTGTGGAGAAGCTCTTCTGGTGTGGTAACTCACCTGATCTCAACGCTATTGAGCCAGCCTGGCCATGGTTAAAGAGAAGAACTACCAAGAAAGGAGCTCCAAAGAGTAGAGGAGAGGCCACAAAAGCATGGGAGCAGGCCTGGAGTGATCTCCCACAGTCACAGATTCAGGCATGGATAGAGAGAATTCCTATCCATGTTCAAAAGATTATTGAACTTGAAGGTGGGAATGAGTACAAGGAAGGCAGAGGCCTGCCAAGAGTTCGTGGAGCACAGTCCGCAACAATCAATTAAGTGGGTCCTAGAAGGTTCAGATTGGATTGATTGATTACCGCTTTAAGCCTAGTAGTTACCTATAGGAGTTTAAGCCCTACCTAGATAGGTAAGTGGGTCTAGGAGAGTGACCGGATTGAATTGATTGTTGCGGAGTCTAGCAATCAAGTTCCCAGCAAAATATAGATAGCTATATATATTAATTAAGGCCTATAGAACTCAACTCTAAAAAAATATCGCGATTATAGCTATCGCACGTGGCTCAATAGCTTCATGTTGTGCTGTCGATTTTGGTGTTCGGGTGGATGGTCACGCCGGGTGGATGGTTACGCCGGGCGCCTCGGTAGTATAACGTGCCCGTGCGCGAGACGCCCGGATTCGCGAGACGCCCCGCCGAACACCATCTCTGATGAAGGTGGAGAAAACGTGCGTGAACTTGTTGTATTGGAGCTACGGGAGAAGGGAGAATATCTATGGTGCGCGCATGGAGCAGCTGACTAATCAGTGCCTGGCCAATCAGAGCACGGGAAGCCTGATTCACCGTGAATACTAGTGAAGGCTCTCACCGCGTCTCGACACCCTTCGGGTCCGTTCATTCCCACTTGCTCCACCACATTACGTTGTGGCATAATAGGATAATTGAAGTTTTGGTGGGGTCTTGGCAGAGTGACCAGCTCACCCGTCTGAACAGCTCACCCGTCTCCGACGTTATTTGAGAACGCTTGGGGCAATCTAAGAGTCCGGAAGAGAAAGTGTCCTGTTACACCGTGCGTCCCGGCACGCTTGGATCGACGTTACGCCGGCCAGCTCGGTGGTGCTAACGGCAAGTCGGCTTTATAGGAACGCCGACTTTGGATACGTCGGCATACGTCGGCCCATAATTAAAGCCTTGTTCTTTGCTAGAGTTGAAAACAAGTGGAGACGTTGCGCGGCTTCCGTGCGGGAAGAGAATCAGCGGACGAAAAGTAAAGGAACGGAATTCTGACTAGCCCGTATAAATAAAGGTTTTACTAGATTTACACTGTTCTGCACAGAGCTCTTTAGAGCGCTATCTCTGCTTCTTTCTACTTTTTCCTGGCCACTGCTATTAAGAACCAAAATGTCGAACAGTCAGCTATACACAGGTGCTCTAGTTTTACTTGTCATCTATCTAGTGATTAGTCCTATCATTAGAGCGTTGATGACACCGCTTCGCAGCGTGCCTGGTCCGTTTCTCGCACGTTTCACGCGTCTCTGGGAATTACGTGCGGTGCGTAAACACGATTTTGCAACCTATAATATAGCCCTACATGAGGAATACGGTATGTTTTGTGCCTAAGTCTTAAATTGATATTTACTTACGTGTGTAGGACCTGTTGTTAGACTTGCGCCGAATCGATACAGCGTCAACGACACTGGAGCTTCTAGGGTCCTTCTAGGCTATCACAACGCCCTAGACAAGTCGAATTACTACACTCCATTTGGAGATCCGTCCCAGGGCAATTTGTTTAGCGAAGTTAATGTTCAGATCCATGCCAACATTAGACGCCCAATCAGTCAATTGTATTCAAACAACAATTTGCTCTCGTATGAGCCGTTCGTAAACGCATGCAACAGTATTTTACTTAGAAGACTAAAAGAATACTCGGGCAGTGGAAAACAACTTAATGTACGACATTTAATGCAATACTATGCATTTGATGTGATTGGAGAGATCACCTTAGGTTCGAGGTTTGGATTTATGGAAGAAGATGGCGACAAGGCAGGTCTCATTACTGCTATTGACGAAGGGCTCGATTACGGCGCCAAAGTTGGGCTTATTCCTGAGGTGCACTGGGCCTTATGCAAGGCGGCCGAATATCTGGGTATAAAGTCGCCCTTCATGAAGGTCATGGATTTCATCCTTTTACAGATTCAGAACCGTGTCTCGGGGCAGACTATATCTCCAAAAGATCGCCAGGACTTCCTTGACAAGCTGCTGCCGCTTGAAAAAAATGGCAAAGCTACTCGACTCGACACAATAAACGCTTGCGGAAGCAATATTGGAGCAGGCTCAGATACGACGGCCATCTCGTTGACCGCCACCATCGCCTACCTATCCATGCATCCAGACGTACTCGCTAAGTTACGGGAAGAACTCGACGATGCTGTAAACAGAGGCGCAGCATCGGACCCAATTACGTTCAAGGAGTCTCAAAAGCTACCCTATCTTCGTGCAGTAATTCAGGAAACACTTCGCATGCATCCTGCGGTTGGCGCACCCTTGACACGTATTATCGGCATCGGCGGTGCAAATCTTGCAGGGCGTTATTTTCCTGCTGGTACTGAAGTCGGCGTCAACCCATGGGTTATCCATAACAATAAAGAGATTTTTGGTCCAGATGCTTCTAAATTCAGACCGGAGCGTTGGTTAGTGCAGGACGCTGAGAAGCGTGCAGTGATGGACCGGAACTTCCTTACATTTGGTGCTGGATCGCGGACATGTATTGGTAAGAACATCAGCTTGTTAGAGATGTACAAAGTCATCCCGCAGATCGTAAAAAAGTTTGATTTTCAAGTGGTGGCAGATAGTAAGCATGGAGAGGGATACATGTGGAAGACATTATTCTTCGCGAAGCAGACTTTATACTGTATTGTCAAAGAAAGAGCGTGTGTATAGGTATTAGAGGCTAGCAACATAGATGTTGAGAAGAAAAATTACGAGTTTCTAGACCTAACGAGGATGTGCGCGTAA